AAGAAAATTGTTTTATTTTAAATTTAATCATTTTAGTTGATCAAGGTATAAATGTTGGTGGTATTTTGAGTTATGTCACTTTTGATGAATTATTACGAATTTATTATAATTTTGTAAGATATCAAAATCATCACAAACAAAAAAAAGGTGTTATTTTTTAAGAATTGTTAAACAAATTAAATAACAAAAATGACATTTAATCATGTTACTAATAATATGTTCTTTGTTTTATAAATATAAATGAAAAAAGTTGTAGTTTTAATCACATATTATACATAATATGTATTTCTTTTTAATAAAAATTCTTTCTGACATATTTTTATTACTGTTTAAATAAAAGTCTTTTATGAGCGACTTTTAGATGAGAAACTGGCAGGCAATCATGTGACAGGGGCAACAAATGTGATGAACATGCCATTAACACCTTCGCCAGAGAATGTACGGCAATTTCAAGAAAATTATCCTTTCCCTTCGCTCGGATACAAACCACAAAGGTAAGTTTATAAATTTCTTCTATTCATTCTTATAGAATCAACTTATTTTACAATTCAACTAAAAATCAATATTAGGAATATTAGCTCTTTTGTCATTAAATAATTATTAAATATAATTAATATTTATTTCTTTACAACGTCCCGCAGCACAGACTTTTGCATAACGCATAGTGCATAAGAGAATCAATCAATCAGAATCTTTCCTTTCATCCCATTCCATGGAAAAGAAGAATTTCGATTGGTCGATTTCCTTATGCGCTATGCATTATGCGTTATGTAAGAGTCTGTGTTGCGACCATATCTCAATTAAATCCAATATTGGTGCCACTACACACATAAGAGCACAAGCACAATCACATATACATATAATATATAGTCGCACTCGCGCCGTTTGCTTTCGAAGTCGAATGATCAATTCAATTTTTTCGTGAAAGAATCTGCGAATTTAATCGAGATACAAAAATCAATTAAAGAAACCGGAAATCAAAAAGATCGATTCTCCAAAAGATCATTATACTTATACAAAATAACTCAATACTAATAAATTGTAGAATAATCAATAATAATGCAATATATTAGCAGAGAGACTCTCTGATATTAGTAATAATAATTTATAAATTAGGATATAAAATCAACTCCATGGTGATTGTTTATGTAATAAAAAACTAATAATTGTTCTCGGATTAAACAAAATTCATATTTTAATTTTATACTTTCATTGCAGATGTCCTCTATGCGATAGTTCGATTTATCCTTATTGCGGCGAGAAATTGTTCCATGACGCCTGCTGCTGCACCGATCATTACGATTTACCTTACCAATGTAAATTAGCAGACTGTCGATTCCTGCATGCCAACAGCTGCAGGGAGCACCGCTTGATTGCCAACTGCTGTTGCAACGACGATTATCGTGCCCTTCTGAAGAGCTTAGTGCAGAAATAAAACCATCGTGTATATTTATCATTTGCAGCAAAATAAATAACAAATCTTAATCAGTTCACTACTGGTGATGATTATATATATATATGAGTGAAAATAAAGTGCCTTATCTGGTAATGACTCACACATGACTATTTAAAATAGATTTGTCATCAGTGGCTTAAAAATACCCCTTATACATAAGTTCCATATAAATTATGAAATTATTTAGTTTTATCAGATTTAGCATAAAACGTTGATTTCTGATGCAGCAGTGAACTTGATGACGAATAAAATGTATAATATTATATATGATCGACGCATAATGTCAAAAAAATTAATCAAGTTAAAAAAATTTTTAAATTAATAAAAAGTAATTATATGTTAATAGAAATAATTAATAGAAAAAAATTATAAAAATCACTACAATGGGAAATATAGACATACATATATTATATATATATATATATTATATATATATATATAATAT